GTTCTGCTGGTGCAGAGTTTGCTCCTTGGGACAATGATGATAGATGGGAGCGGGTTATAGCGAACAGGCTGAGAAACGATTTATGGGCTCAGAAAGGAATGGGACTTGGATCCAACCTCCCAAGACCGTCTGGACAGGGGTCCATGACAAGCAAGCAGCCATGGTAAAAATGGCAGCCGGAATCCTCATGGATGGCAGGCATGGAGAGCATGGGCAGCGTTAGGAGCTTGTCAGAGCTCAATGTCCCCAACACCCAGGCAGGGCCCACCATACCAAAGGGAGCATGTCCCCCCACCATGCCCCACTTCTTCCTCCCATGCTGGGGTCCAGAGCCGCCCAGTGGGACCAGAGCATCTCTTCCTCCGGCCACGCCCCAGCCATGACAACGGAAGGCATCCATGCTGGCAGGGGACAGTGAGTGCCCCGGTCACCTTTTCATCCCGGCACTTCAGGACCTTTTCCTCCCTTTGTGACGCAGTTTGGCTCCACTACCCCAGCCTTGGCCCCTGGCCATGTCCCGGGGTCTGAAGTTATGGATTCAACAGCTGGAGAAAGCAGCCCAATGGGATGCGGTGTGGGAGGACTCTTGGCCCAGCTCCACGGCGTAGGCAGAGCACGAGGATTCCTTCCCCAGCACCCCACCAGCCATCCAGTGTGGGGACCCCTTTCGGCAGGCTTTGCCCTGCTCCCCAGCTCCCTGAGCAGGTGCTAAGGACCTCTCTTGGTGCCAACAGCTACAACAAGTCCCCCAAAGCCAGGCAGCATCCTAGAGAGCAGAGGGGCAACACTGGAATGCCAGGGGCATTCCACACGGCAGTATCCTGAAAAGTTGCCTGGGCTCAGCCTCCATCCCCAGCCCAGTCTCTCCCTGGACTGCAAAGTGGCAGACAGATGGGTGATCCCAGGGTGCCTCTCCCCATTCTGTCCCCATCCAGCCCTGGAACAATATATCCCCAGGTTTAATATCCCAGAGCCCCATGTGCCCCCTCCCAGCCTTCCCCACACTGGTGGCACGGGCTGCCAGCAAGGAGCAGAGATCAGCCTAAAACAACCCCAGAGAAGCAACAGGGCTATTTTGTTAATTACTTCAGTTTTCAATCTCCCGGCGAGGTGACTTGTTTAGGCTAATAATTGCTTCAGTTGGATTTTATCTGGCTAATTAATCAGTTAATAAATGACTTTGCTGCAGGGGGATAGATGCTGCGGCCGTCTCCTTAACTGGGGACTGGAAAAAAACAGGGAAGGAGCACAGCCCATGTGATTTCCACAGCCACATGGTGCACATGGATGGCATGGGGCAGAGAACACCCAAGCAGGGACCCCCAGCCTGTCAGCATACTGAGCCAACCTCGGAGTGTTTGCAGCAGCCCCTGCCAGGGGGAGCAGCCCTCAGCTCCTCTCTCTGCTGTGAAGCTTTTGGGACACAGTTTTCCTTGCTGGTACCTCTGCTAGATGGAGAAGCTGAAAACTGGGGAAGACAGCTTGGAGAAAAAAGAAGTCATCATCTTTGTCACAGAAAACATGGGATTTCCCTTTACTGCCCAGCCTGGTTAGCATGGGTATGCTCCTGCCAGCAATACCACAGGTGAGCTGGGGATTGCCTCTGTACCAGGCTCTGGCTTCACTTGACCACTGCACTGCACGGCTCAGGAGCTCACTGGCCATGGGGCAGGGCTCTGGTGTGGGATGGGGGCTCTTTTCCTCTCCTGCCTCCTTCCCAAGAACCACCTCAGGCTCCACCTTGGCCCGCTCTGGATGTAAAGCAGCCATGAAGCATCTCCTGAAGACCTCAGGCACTGCAGCCTCCCTGGGTTGCAAATCTTTGGAGACCACCATCACCAAAGCCCTGAGTGCCCTGGGCACAGCAGCACTGGGGCTTCTAGGTCTCCTTTTTCTCATCCACTGGTCCTCAGGGTGGCTTTCATGGCTGAGCCAGCTCAGTCCCAGCTGTAAAAGCCCATCCCCACAGGGCCCTCTCTTCTTGGTCCCCTGGCAGTGCTGGTAGGGGGAGCCTCATCACAGGAGCCAGGTCTGGTGCAGGGATGGTGGGAGGGCTCAGGCTCTGCAGAGAGGCTGAGGGAAGGGGCAGGGGCACCCTAGCCCACAGAGAGGCACTGGGGGTCCTGTGGGGATGGGCAGTGAAGGACGGGGGGTCCCAGGTTCAAGGGGAGCTGTACAGGTTACCCGAAAGGGCTGCACCACTGTGAGTTAGGAGCTGGCAGCAGATGGCTTGCCAGTCCACATGGGTGCTGGCTGGGCGAGGAGCAGCAGTCAGGTCCTCCTCTTCCCTCGCCACTCTACTGCCAGGCCGGCACACGGAAACGCTGTCTGTAAGTCCCCGCGGAGCTGTGGGGGAAAGGACAGACATCAAACAATGCCAAAGGGATGTCCTACCCCTGCTCCAACCTAGGAGGGGCTTGATCCCCAGATGAGGGTCTCCCCTTCATCTGAAACTGCTCCAGGTGACATTCAGTGTAAGACCCAGCCATTCCCTCCTGCTGGCTGTCAAACCTCCTCCCTAGCTGGCTGCACCATGGCTGGCAAATGCAAAGTGGCACCCCCCTCCCAGCACACCTCACCTTGGACAACAGCAGCTCCTGCACTGTGGTGTTGCCCAGGTCCAGGGGGACGGTTAGCCGCAGTGACAGAAAGAGATGAGATACACCTAGGGATGGAAAACATGGTTCTGGTTATAGCCCTTACATATTGGGCTCTGTCAAAGGATCTGGGGGTCTTTCCCCTGATCCTCTGGTGGAGACACAGAACCTTCTCCCAAGTTAGTCATGTCATGGACACCTTAAACTGTCAGGAGAATAACGCTCCACCTGTATAGCAAACCACACATCCCACAGAGCATCAACACCCTTGTATTGAGAGCATGCGAAAAGAACAGGGCTCCAGGACCCCCTGCACTTGCCCCGGGAAGCCTAAAGCCACCAGCACTGAGGGTGGTGATACCCATGGGGCACTGCACTTACTGGTGTTGGATGTGGTGGTGGGGCAGACAGGCAGCATCGTTGGCAGGTCTGCAGAGGTGCTGAGGGCAAGCTCTGTGGTCTGGGTTGAGCTGGCAGCAGGGGAAGAGGGCTCTGTGCCTGGGCAAAGTAATGTTATGTTAGCGCAGCCTGCAGAGAGGTGCAGGATGCTCCTACAGCTGGGGACAGACCAAGCCTAAATGGAGCCACCTCCATGAAGCCACCCAAGTATATGCCCAGCATCCCTTTGGGGATTTGTCCTGACTATGCCCCTTGCTTTCCAGGCACCCACGGCTGCACCTACCTGTGGCTGCACTGAGGGTCCCAGATACTGTTGATATACCTGGGGTCGACCCCAAGGGTGAGTTGGAGTGGCCAGGGGTAGCCCTGGATGTGGGATTGCTGCTGCACATGTCCGTGCTGGTAAAGGGGGCGGCTGTGCTGTCTGCCAGGGTTGTCAAGGGCTCAGCTGAAGCGACTGTCGGTGCTGGTGTGGTGAGAGGAGGCATAGTGGATGGTGAGAAGCTGCTGGTCTCCAGATGTACTGGACCTCTCCAGGGTAGAGGATTCAGAGCTGGAGGGAGGGAGAGTGGCTGCAGTGGTGGGGTCAGTGGTGGGCAGCAGTGCTGAGGTCTCCATAGGTGTCAGGGAGGTAGGGACACTCGTGGACATGGTTGCTGTCACATCTGTGACGGTAGTCGCTGCAAAGAGGTGGGAGAATGAGGTGTACAAGGGCTGGTAGTGAAAGGCTGAGACCGTGGCTGTGCTGGGGATAGTGCAGCACCACCACCATGATCTCCATGAGGGATCCAGAGCTGTACATCAGCCATGGAACATTGAGAGTGGAAATTCACTGTCCTGCATGGATCCAGCATGTGGATGCCCAAAATGGGCATCAGCAAGGCAGGCCATGTAAATCCAAGCCCAACAAATCAGGAACAAGACATGGCCATCGTTGGGCTCAGGACAGAAACTCCTGTAGGCGCCAGCACTGAGACCCGTTTCACCACCTTCACCCACCCCTGGAGGAAGTCAGACAAACCCGTCCGACGGGAAGAGCCGTGCAGGAACTGGTGACCGTGAGACAGGCTGGAACTGCAGCAGCAGCGGTTTACACAAAGCTCCCTGCTGCAGATAGTCAGGAACTGATAACACCGGGTGTAAATAATGGCAAGGGGGAACCAGCCCCACAGAGGAACAAATCCCAGCTTGCAGCTTAGGGCAAGTAGTTAGAGACGTGCAGCATGGGGGTCATGAAGGATGCAGGAGGGCCTTCCTCTCTGCCTGCACCGACTCTGTACTGGGGCAGTGTGCTATCCCTGAGGAAGCCCAGGCATCTGTAACCCTTTCCAAAAGGATGCACAAAACAGCCTGGCTGCCCCAGCCTCCATCAGGGTATGCCTGCGAGTTAGTGGCTTTGAGATGCCAGGCTGGATTCCACCATGATCCCAGCAGAAACCCAATGAGTTTGTGTCTCTGCTTGCATGGGGTTGGGGAAACAAGCCATGAGCTTTCAGCCAACCCCACCAAAACTTCCCACAGCCATTGACTCCATGAGCTGGTGCTAGCTGCAACTGGTTAAATAATAATGTGGAGAAGGGCAATGGTCTGATCCCAACCCATGCTGGGTATCTGCACTATAGATCCACATGCTCACATACAAAGGAGGAGCTGTAAGTCCACCTCTGTTTCCCATTTAGCAAACAACACTCTCAGTGTTTCACTCCCTCACCCCACAAGGCACCGCACCGCCCCGAGGAATGATGCTCCATGCTCACCACCCGCCCCATGGAGACCATTGCAACCCACTCAGCCCTTACCGAGTACGAGGTGCAGCACGGCGAGGCGGGCAAGGCTCAGCAGCAGCAGGGGCAGGGGTGACCTCCTGCTTTGCCCAGCCATGTCCGGGTGGGTGGGAGCCGATGGGACCCTGCAGGCACCAGTCCAAGTGCTCCCTATGTCCCCAGCACTGGGGTTTCCTGGTCTCCTTTGCCCAGTAGAGGAGGAGCATTCAGGTGGGCTCTTTCACTCCCTAGGTGTTGGCAGCAATGGGGGGGTTTCCACCCGACACAGATACTCCCAGGGAGCGGCGCGATGCCAAGCAGACATCAGCTGCACAGCTGGACCCAGAGGAGCCCGGAACAGCAGGCAGGGCAGGCCGGCAGGGCCACCACTGCAGCCAGGGACCGTGCCGTCCTTGCCTCCTGAGGAGACAGCGACAACAGAAAAAAGCCCAGGGAAGCAGCCAGGCTGCCTGGGACCGTCCCTGTGCTCCACCACGGGGGTGATGTTTGGTGGTGGCTCCTGACACCAACGCCCCTTGGGAGACAACAGCCTTGTCTGAGCGCGAGGAACTGGCTGAGAAAACAGGAGGCGCTCAGGAAGGGCGTGCTCCAGGCTGACGGTTTGTCCCCCGGGCTGTCTGTAGAGGCATCACTTCCCTATGTCACAGCATGTCATGGCTGAAGCGCTTTGCTGATAGCTGGAGTCACTTCCTTCTTCTCAGGGTCAGGGACAAGAGCAGTCGGAGGTGCCTGAAGGCACTGGGCCAGGGTACATGCGCTCCTGGAAGGTACAGGCATGCTGGAGGACTGTCAGGGCACAGCCACCCTACTGCTGTACAGACACATTTAGGCATCACCGGTGTACAGCGGTACAGGCACTCTGTTAGGGTGCTGTCACACTGTAGCCATTAGGCCAGGGTACAAGTACTCGGTCAGGATTCAGTTGCTGTACCTTGGTACAGGGATTCCGGGGGCACATGCACAGCTAGGGGCACCAGAGCATAGGGTCCAGCCTCCCTGCCAGGTAGAGGTGCATGGAGAGGGGTGTCACCAGGATACAGCTGTAGCCCCGGGGTGAAAATTATACCCTGGGAGAGCCACCGGGGTACGATCACACTGCTGGGACACAGGTGCTTACGATGGGGCACTGCCAGTGTACAGCTATTGAGGGGGAACAGCTGGTGTACAGCCGCATTCCTGGGGTACAGCCGGGACACCGCCCCACCGCCGCGCAGCTGCCGCGCCAGCGCCGGACAAGGCACGCCGCGCCCCCGAAGCTCCGCCCTCTTTCGGGGCCACGCCCCTTCCCCATACTTACGCCACGCACGGTCCTCCCACAGGCCACGCCCCTCCCCGCTTTTCCCGCCCCTTCCCGCTTTTCCCGCCCCTCCCCGCTTTTCCCGCCCCTTCCCGCTTTTCCCGCCCCTCCCCGCTTTTCCCGCCCCTTCCCGCGGTGGGGGTCGGGTGGGAGCTGCACTCACCCGCGGCGGAGCTGGGGGTCTCGGAGGCGGCGCCAGCGGTGGTCCCGGCCGTGGTCTCGGCCAGTTGGGTGGGGGTGCTCCCGGGGCCCCCCGTGCTGGTAACGGCGGTGGCCGTGGTGTCCGACGCGGTCCAATGGGGCTCATCCGAAGTGACTGTCGGTGCTGCTGCGGTGTGGAAAGAGGCGCTGCCGGTCCCTAGCGATGTGCTGCCAAGCAGTGTGGCCACGGCTGGCTCTTGGCGGGTGGTGATACCAAACGTGGTGCCCGCTCCGGTGGAGGAGAGAGGAGCAGAGTCGGAGGGAGGCAGTGTGTTCTTTTCGACTCCAAACGATATGACAGCCGATGCCGTACCGGTCCCCACAGACGTGACAGTGGTTGAATCAGTACCATTGGATGTCGTAGCCGCCGGAGCTGGTGTCGGGGTGCTGGTGGTGAGCCCTAGCCTTGTTTGGGTGGGCTCAGGTGGTACCGAGGTGCCATCGGGAGTGCTGAGGGCTGTGCTACCAGTCACCTGTGGTGTGGTCATGCTGGAGGCTGCTGGGCTGCTCCTCAGAGGCACAATGCTGGCTGTGAAAGCACCCATGGTGGAGGTGTCAGGGCTGGAGGGAGGGAGGGTGGCTGCAGTGACAGTAGGCGTGGTGGATGGTGAGAAGCTGCTGGTCTCCAGTGATGTACTGGACCTCTCCAGGGTAGAGGATTCAGAGCTGGAGGGAGGGAGAGTGGCTGCAGTGGTGGGGTCAGTGGTGGGCAGCAGTGCTGAGGTCTCCATAGGTGTCAGGGAGGTAGGGACACTCGTGGACATGGTTGCTGTCACATCTGTGACGGTAGTCGCTGCAAAGAGGTGGGAGAATGAGGTGTACAAGGGCTGGTAGTGAAAGGCTGAGACCGTGGCTGTGCAGCATCACCACCACCATGAGCTCTACAAGCTATGCATGAGCAATGGATCATCAGGAGTGGGACATTCACTGTCCTGCATGGATCCAGCATGTGGATGCCCTGAGCAACAACATGATTGTCAGCAAGGCAGGCCATGTAAATCCAAGCCCAACAAATCAGGAACAAGACATGGCCATCGTTGGGCTCAGGACAGAAACTCCTGTAGGCGCCAGCACTGAGACCCGTTTCACCACCTTCACCCACCCCTGGAGGAAGTCAGACAAACCCGTCCGACGGGAAGAGCCGTGCAGGAACTGGTGACCGTGAGACAGGCTGGAACTGCAGCAGCAGCGGTTTACACAAAGCTCCCTGCTGCAGATAGTCAGGAACTGATAACACCGGGTGTAAATAATGGCAAGGAGGGAACCAGCCCCACAGAGGAACAAATCCCAGCTCACAGCTTAGGGCAAGTCATTCTCTGTGAGGGGGTGAAGGATGCAGTAGGATAAGACCTACCCAAGCTTTGTGAGTTTGAGGCATGCAGGAGGAATGAGCCTCAAGTTTATTCCCTGTGTTTGACTCAACACTGCTCTTGCTTTGTGTCAAGTGCAAACATCACGATGGCATTTGGAGTTTTCCAGGCCCACAACATCCTGGTGATGCTGCCATCCAGGCAGGGCCATTTTGTGCTTCTGGGTAGGTCGTATCAAAGGCAGTGAGCCCAGCAGTGACCAGTGTTCAGGAAGGAAGTCAAACTGTGACCAAAGCCTTCTCTGCTTGGATGGAAACCCACATGAGAGGCAAAAGAAGTGAAGCCAAGCTTGTTGCTTCTGTGTTGCAGAGCACAGTCCTTTCGCCCACCGGAACGAGGCCGAGATATCAGAAAGCAAACAGCACACACAGTGTTCTACCTGTGTTGGTGAAGCCATGCCGAGGCTGCCACCACCACCCTGGGGAATGGTGCTCCCATCTCAGCACCCACCCAATTGATAGCACAACATCCCACTCAGCCCTTACCCAGCGTGAGGTCCAGCACGGCAAGGCTCAACAGCAGCAGTGGCAGCCCTCCTCTCTGCCCAGCCATGTCCAGAGCCAGCACCCCCACTCCCTAAGTGGGGACAAAGTCCCTGCACTCAGGGATACAGGGCCAGCGAATGGTGCCAGCAGTGGAACTACGGTGCCGAGTGACGTTTGAAGGTGGCAGGAGCCACTTCCTCATTCCAGCGGGCAGGGAGAGGAGGCACTGGCGGGCACTACTCCACTACTCCCCTTTCCCGGGGGAAGGTGCTGCACCGATGTCCCCGGGGCACCCGCGGGCGCCGCGGACATCGTCACAGCACCGGCCCCCGTGTACACGGCGGGCGGTGCCAGATGATGGAGTCCCTCCCCTTATCCCGAATCCCTGCCCATTTCCACGCCTTTAACAACCCCCCTACCCCCCGTGTTGTATAACATCCGGAGGACCGCGTGGCTGCCAGGTAAGGACCGGGAGGGGCAGGGTACCAGCATCCCGCTGGCTTACGGACCGGGATGGGTAAGGCACCGGGAGCTCAGTACGGTCCCGTTTCCCTTCGCAGCTGCCGCGCGGAACCACGCTGCTCTCGCTGCCGGCCCGGGTAGTGCTAAGGATGCGGCGGCGGCAAGGGAAGCGAAAGGCCTCGGCCCCGGAGGAGGATTTACGCGTGCCTCGGAGGAGGACGGAGAAAGAGGAGGAGGTGCAGGAAGCCCGGCAGAGGGCGGCCCCCTCCGTGCGAGAGTTCAAGTTCAACAAAAAGCGGGTGCGCCTCATCTCGGAGGGCTCGGATCTGAAGGATGATGGTCGGTGCATCCTTTACTGGATGTCCCGGGACCAGCGGCTGCAAGGTGTGAATCAGCAAATGGGGGAGGCTGGGAAGTGGAGCTTCTATGGGTGGCGAAATCCACAGTCCCTTCCCACAGTAGGCCTTGGAACTGGTTCCCCCTGTGCAGGGGAGACCCCATCTCCATTCCCTCAGTAAAGCATCCTCCCTGACACTGCCCCATGTGCTTTCTCCCCAGATAACTGGGCTTTCCTCTATGCCCAGCGCCTGGCCCTCAAACAGGAGTTGCCTCTGCGTGTCTGCTTCTGCCTGGTGCCCAAATTCCTGGAGGCCACCATCCGCCACTATGGTTTCATGCTAAGGGGTCTGCAAGAGGTGGCTGAGGTATGACTGCTGCAGGGATGTCCATGCTGAGTGGGACAGGGGTCCTGAGGGAGGGGGCGGAAGACTCATCCTTTCAGTGGATGGTCGTGGGATGTGGTCTGCAGGGGTGTGAACCCCCCCATAGCCTTTTCCCCCTCACTGCAGGAGTGCACAGAGCTGAACATTGCATTCCACTTGCTGCGGGGCTACGCCAAGGACGTGCTGCCTGCATTCGTGCTGGAGCATGGTGTTGGTGGGCTAGTGACGGACTTCAGCCCCCTCCGCCTCCCCAGGCAGTGGGTGCAGGACGTCAGGGAGCGGCTGCCAGAGGATGTGCCATTTGCACAGGTGGGTGCCTGCACTCTGCGAGGGGAAAACTGGCTGGAGAAATGTGGGAGAAACTTGTCTCCTGCGTTCTGTGCCTGCAGAGGTGAGCCGGAGTGACCTGAGCAGGGAGTGTGTGTGTCATGTCTTCGGGACCATTTGCTTCTCCTGCTCACACCCTCCTCCATGGCTTTGCTTTCCAGGTTGATGCTCACAACATCGTGCCCTGCTGGGTTGCCTCCCCCAAACAGGAGTACAGTGCCTATACCATCCGGAGAAAGATCCAGGCTCAGCTCCCTGAGTTCCTCACGGAGTTCCCCCCTGTTGTTCGTCACCCATATTCCCCCTCCTGCCCAGCAGAGGTACCAGCAGCAGACACTTCCGCACTCAAGGCCAATCCTAGAGGGTTTTACAGCTGTTTTGTGATCCTGGGAGAGGATGGCAGGGAATGGGGACAGTGACCTGCCTGAAGTGGGCAGGTGATGTGGAGATGGCAGTGCCCTTGGGGAGGTTGGTTCGCGTCTCATTCATTCAGGGCAGGTCTAGTTAAGAGGAGAAGGCTGGCATGAGCTTGGGACTTGCTGGCTGGGGACACCCAGGGGATCTAAGACTCAGGGCAGCCCTGGCTGAAGAGCATCTGTAAATGCACTCATGCTGCTTGGTCACTGCCCAGCCCATTGCTTGGGAGGCCTGTTATTCCAGCTTGGAGGTGGACCATACAGTGAAGGAGGTGGAGTGGGCGACCCCTGGGACAGCTGCGGGGCTGGCTGTGCTGCAGTCCTTCATCAGAAAGCGACTGAAATACTTCGGCTCCCACCGGAATGACCCCAACAAGGCTGCGCTCAGCAACCTGTCCCCGTGGTTCCACTTCGGTGAGTGCCCCAGGCTTTGCAGTTGGCAGCACAGCTGAGCACGGTGGCTGGGACTGGCAGCCTGATTTCCTCCCTCCCCACGTCCCCAGGCCAGGTTTCCACCCAACGAGCCATCCTGGAAGTGCAGAAGCACCAGCACAAGTACAAGGAGTCAGTAGACGTGTTTGTGGAGGAGGCCGTGGTGCGGCGAGAGCTGGCTGAGAACTTTTGCTACTACAATGAGAACTATGACAGCGTGCAAGGTAGCGTTCTGGTTTGGGTGGGCAGCACTGGGGCTGACCTGGTACCCAATGGCTGGGCTGGTACCCAGCTTGGCAAACCTAAGACTGACTTGGAGAGGGGCTGTGAGGGCACTAATTGCTGCCATTCAGTCCTTCTGAAGGTAAAACAGGAGTTGGTAGATGCCCTTTTCAAGGTTGATGTCCCCTGGGCATAGTGCTCTTCAGTAGCTCAGTTCTCTATCTCTTCCCCAGGGCCCTGCAGGAGCTGGCTGCTCATCATTGCTCCTTATCTCTCTTGCTCACAGGTGCCTATCCATGGGCACAAACCACCCTGAAGCTCCATGCCAAAGATGAGAGGCCTTTTCTCTACAAGCTCCAGGAGCTGGAGCAGGGGACCACACATGACCCGCTCTGGAACGCTGCCCAGGTACTGCCCCACATCTCCCTGACAAAATGCTGAGTCTTTTCCTGAGGGGCAGAGGTGAGGTGGCACAGACTGACCTGTCCATCTGTCCCTTTTCCCCCAGCTCCAAATGGTCCGGGAGGGCAAGATGCACGGCTTCCTGCGGATGTACTGGGCCAAGAAGATCCTAGAATGGACCCGCTCCCCAGAGGAGGCCCTGCAGTTCGCCATTTACCTCAATGACCGCTACGAGCTGGATGGGAGAGACCCCAACGGCTATGTAGGCAAGCAGCAGGATGGGGGCACAGCAAGCGGGGGGTCTTATCTCTGATGGCCAAGGGCTGTGGCAGGGGGAAGGCTCTCTGCAGGCTACCCAGGCCATCCTGCTTTACACCCACATCTCATTGCTTTCTAGATGCCTCCAAGCAGGGGCAATGCTGACGTTCTGTCCCCACACCCTGCAGGCTGCCTCTGGTCCATCTGCGGCATACATGACCACGGCTGGACCGAGCGTGCCGTCTTCGGGAAGATCCGCTACATGAACTACGCTGGCTGCAAGCGCAAGTTCGACGTGGGGCAGTTCGAGCGTCGCTATGCTCCCTGCACACTCTCCCAGTGACAGGCACAGCAGACTCCAGACTGCTTGTGCCCCTCTGCACTGGGGGCAGATGTGCCAGTGCCAAGGTATGGGCTCACACCTTACACCACAGCCGGGGATCACCACAAATGCTGTTGGAGGGCTCACTGATGGTGGCAAGCCCCGGGGTTTCACAGGTCTCTTACCCCCTGCTCAAGCTGCTGGAGCCCCATGGGCTCACCAGGTCCCTCCTGCTGCCCCATCTTCAGTGTGCCTCTGCCTGCCCAAAACCTCTTCTACAACCACTGTGTTTGGGTGCAAGCCCAAGTTGCTGTTGCTGCTGCTAGTCACAGCTTAGATTTAGGCTGAGCAGGGCTTTTCTGGGGAAAAACTCCTAGAAAGTGGCTCCTCCTGGTGTGCTGCAAGGCAGGGAAGCCTTGTTTTGCTCCATGGAGAGCTAGCGCTGTGCTTGCACAAGCATCTGTCAGCAGTTGTTTTAAAGTTTACAGTTTGTATCTATCCATCTATATATGTCCTGTGTCTGTGGTGTTTATGTGGTGATGCACAACACTGCTGCAAGCGACAGAGATCCAACAACAATGGGACACCCAAGGCCATGCCTGCAAAGGCAGACCCAGGGAGAGACAGACCATACAGGGAGCCCCTTACTCAGTGTTTTGTACTTCCTGCCCTGAGTCCAGTGGGCAGTTTGCAAGGAGAGGCCACAAACCACATGGATTAGACCCAGTGACATCTGGCAACGCACCGCCAGTTGCACAAGTTGTCCCCCCTCTGCCCACTCCCTCCCTACCCCAGGGGCCAACAGGCACTGCAGGACTGACCCCAAGGGCAATACACCCTGCTACAACAGCTGAAATGATGCCACAACAAAACCAGGCCCATCATTAACTTAGTTTATTTGGGATGGCATTTTTGTTGCCTCTCTGTGCAACAGTCCCATGGGGAGGGCTCCAGGTAATGGCCAGAGCATTCCCTTGCTCTCTCTTAAAAAGAGCTCACTGCCTTGGCCACTTCCAGTGTTCCTTGCAATGGTGAGTGCTGGGCACAATCCTGCCCTGGAGCCCTCCATCGAGTTTGCAAGTCCCACTGCTTCCAAAGTCCACAGTGGAGGGTGGAAACCACAGATAATCCAAAATCCCTTCTCTCTTCTTTAAATGTACTCAGTGCTTCTAGAAGGGGACATGGGCAGCCTCTCAGCTGCTGTCCCATGACATTAAAGTGCTTCAAACAAAACAGGATGGATGAAGGTGTGCTGCTGAGCCAGCTCCAGGGAAGGGGGTGCCAACTCTGGGCAGCAGTGTGAAGGCTTGGCTTGCTGTTGAGGACAGACAAGACAGAGGTGGACCAGCATCTGGCAGCCCCATGGCTTGCAGAGACAGACAGTGAGCAGGACAGCAGTGGCTCCCCTGGCAAGAAACAGAGCAGAAGCAAGAGAGGAGGCAGCAAACACTCCAGAGAGTGTGTGGGGAGCTGAAGCCCCTTTCCCAGCTAGACCTGGCTTTGCCAGGATGCTGCGAGTCAGGGAGACATGCTGTTGTGCAGCAACGCTCCCAGCCACCCTCCTTCACCAAGTCCTGCATCCACCTCTCCTGGTCTCAGCCTCTCTCCCTGACCCTGCCACCCCTGCAGGGATAGCCCACGAGGGGTCACACCCCAGCCTCAAGCCAGTGCTTGTGCTGCAAAAGCCACTGCCTCTAGGTGCCTTCTGCCAGTGTATTGCTCTACAGTTCTTCAACACCCTTCTTGCACATACACAGGCCACACCATCCTTCTGAACACGCCATGTCCTACCCATGCCAAGGTGATGCTGGACACTCACCTGTGCCATGTAAAGCATTCCCCTGCAATGCAGGCACCTCCTCAGCTGACTGCTAGCCCCAGAGCATCTTGTACTGCTGGGTCCGACCCTGCGAAGCTGTTGGTTGTGGCAGGCAGCTCTGTATCAGCAAGGGACCAGCCCTTTGAAGCACCTCAGTGCCAAACCCTCTCCCCCATGCACCCCCCATTGCAAGCAGGCTGCCTGGCCACCCCACTGCACTGCACCTGGGAAGCCTTGAGGCTTTGCCTGGCTCAGGGACATCTCTCCCAAGTGGAACAGGAGATGTGCTGGGAGAGAGGACTCCTGGCAAACAACAGCTCCCTCCAGGGCTGAGGAACCAGGAGCAGGACAGGCTTGGAAGTTTTATACCTGTGAGCCCCAAGCAGAGTCCATGTCCCCTAAAGAGGCATTTCAAGCAGCACCTTCCTGGGGGGAACACACAGTTAAAAATACAAACAACCACATTAAAAAATAAAACCAAACCCAGCAGATTAAAAACCAAAACCCCAAACCAAAGAACAAACTGAGACAGGGGCTCAGGGGATGTGGCTGGAGGGCTGAGCCTTCACTCACATCCCAACAGAAGGCAGCTGCATACAAGGCAGGTCCTGGTGCCACCAGTGAGGCCCCGTATCACCCTTAGAGAAGGACGTGCCCCCCAGGGGGACAGACAGGCAGAATGAGGAAGTGGGGCTTACTGCCTTCTCCAGCCATGGGGATCTGCCCCTACAAAAACCTGGCAGCACCAGTGCCCTTGTGCAGCTTTTCCAGGGGCAATGCACCTCTACAGCACATGTGGAGGGCAGGGAAAGCAGCTCAGCACAGATGGCACAAAGAGACAAGGCAGGAATCTGGCATTTTCACCACTGCCACATCCTCTGCTCTGATCCTGGAGTGAGAACTGCTCTCTGGCAGTGTCGCAAGCCAAATTTGAGGCAGAGAGCTGTTATATGCACATCAACCCCAAATCCCCACTGTCCCTCCATAAACACAACTCCCAGCAGCAAGATACAGGATCAGAGGACTTGGAGAGCTGATTCCCACCTCCAAGGACCAGATGTGGCCAGAGATTCCTAATATACAGTTGATGAGCAGAAAGTGCTGATCCCCCAGGGACCCTGTTGGGGAGCAGGGCAAAGGGACCGGCAGCACAGCCCTGCCTGGTCCAGCATGAACAACTGCTCAGAAAAGGCCCCTGTTCTGCCTGTGAGGCAGAAGCAGTTGAACTTCCCCAAGCAAACCTGTGAGCAGAACCTGGAGCAGACCCAGATAATGGAAGATGTCCCTTCCCCAGCCCAGCACTACTGCACGGGAGGAAAACAGATCCCTTCAAGACAGTGCTCCAGCCTCCTGACAGTCCTCCTCATCGCCAGTCTGTGTGCCTCAGTCTCTGGTGATGAAATCCATGCACATAAACCCACGTTCTGCTCCTCTGCTGCAACATTCATGTAGCTACCACCACCTCTGACTGCTCCAGCTCCTCTTCGTAGTCCGAGACATAGGACTCCATGCTCTGCTTGGCCAGCAGCTCTCTCCGGGCTTGAAGCCGCTCACAGCGGGGACAGCGGGTGGATTTGAAGCAGGATTTGTGGTAGCAGGCTTTGCACTCTGCAAAGGAAGCATGACTGAGAGCTGGTAGAGGCTGACACAGACTGCCTGACACTTGGCACCCTGAGAGAGGGATGCTCCAGACTTGTCCAGGAGGACTTTTCAAACCAAAGCCATGGCAGAACTAGCACAAGATGCAGGGGTCCAGCGCTGCTCTGGAAGCAGCAAGAAGACAGGCTGCAGGGTCCCTGAACTGGCTTGTGAAGCCTTTGGGAGCACAGGCAGGAGGCTGCCTCCTCCACATAAGGTCCTTCCCCAAAATTTCACGATTCTCCAAGGAAACAGTAATTCTGCCCCAAGGTTTCTCTGGCACTGTGTCTGCATGGTGTCAGAGTCATTTCAAGCCAGTTCAGAGGCTGGCTCCAAGCTGCAGCAACAAGCTCTGCTTGGCCACTAATACTAGGCATTATCAAGGATTACACCTGAAGGGAACCTGTGGATTTCCTGGCAAGCAGGAAGTGCACAGAGACAAAGCCTTTAGCCTCTCTCTGCTCTAGAAGGTCGGCTCCAGCCATCCAAGCAAGGGCAGGGGAGCCGTGTGTCCCACAGCCACAGCAGAAGGAAAGCCAAGGGACCTGCTTGCTGCAGTCACAACCCGACTGCATGCTGCCGCCTGGGTAGGGAGCACACAGCACGGTCAGGAAGGGACCTACATGCTCCACCACACCAGCAGCTCTAGACAGACATTGTTATAATGCTGATCTACTACTGTGATAACGTGGTGCAGAGACACAGGCCATGCACAGAGGCACCCCGGTCTGGCTGGCCCTGGCTCTACACCTCTTGCTAGCACAAATGCCACTCAAACCGGAGGCAGACCTTGGTGGCCTCAGGGTCTGTCCCCTCCCTTTTTCTCCGCACCATCTCACCTTCACATGTGCTGCACTTGTTGAGCTCAAAAGGGAAGATGATGTCACTCTCATTCTGGCAGAACTCACAGATGAAACCTTTGGCTTGGCACAGCTGGAAGGAGAAAAGGTGAGGAAAAAGCAGCTGAATGCTTCTCATCTCCCTGGCAAGCAGGGCAGGAGGTAGAGCAGAGCCGGACAGGAGGACACGGTGCCCTGCTCTAAGCATGCAGGACAGCCCTTCCCCGGCATGGAGCATAGCAAGACAGAATCAACATGTGTTAGGGGTGGGGGAGCCAAAATGGGGAAACAAACTTCCTGTACATGACTCAGTACTAACTCTGTGGAGCAGGCAGGAACAGTTAGCATTGAATCATTAATTTGGTGGCTGTCCCACATATCAAAGGCCTCCCCATCAGTTATCTTTGCAGCAAGATGCTCCCAAGGTGCTCCTGAGGGTGCGGAGCCATGCATGAGGCAGGAAAGGGAGGCCTTACCATGCACTTATCAACGTGCAGACTGCCTGCCTTCAGGAGCTCAGTCAGGCAAGGCACCAACTCCCCTTTCTTTGTGGCACTGAGGTCACGGAGCGAGTAGAGGTGTAAATCCTCTGTCAAGTGGCCAGGAACTGTATCAAAGGAGTCAAGGAGGCTGCAAGGATAGAGAAACCAGAACTCAGAGCAAAGCAAATCCATTAAGCTCCTTTCCACTGCTTCTGCTTTCTTCCTCCCTCCCCTCCCTTCTCCCTCCATTGCTCACTGCACAGCCTGCACAATCCCCAGTGCAAATTGTCATGGGACAGAACCAGAACAGCAAAACAGCTTCGTCTCACAGCCTGGTACTCACTCTTTAGCTAGCCGGCATGTCTTAAACATGTTCTTCATGTGGAAAAGCTGGATTCGCAGCAGCTGGAGAGGAAGGGGGGACACAAGAATCAGTAAACAGAGTACAGTCTTTGGCCAAGCAGGTCTGCCCAATTTCCTGTGCTGGTGAAACAACCACTGCTCCTCAGCTGCTGCTCTCCCGCTACCAAAGTGTTTACACCACACAGGACAAAATGAGCACAACAACCATCACAAGCTCCAAGAGATAAACTGAAGCCCAGCTGGACACTAGGCAGAAATTCCTTTTGAAATGCCTCTGTTATTGGACAAAGAACAAGAGGTGAATGGAAATCCGTGGTGCCAAGGTTTTAAGCCTCAAAACCTGAAATATCTGCTTCTCCACAGCTTCCCTGGAACGCTGTTTACAATGAACAGCCACTCACCTCACCCAAACCCCACTCAGGAAGGTGTGCAAAGGATCTTACCCACACTTGGTTGAGAGACTTCACTTTCCGGTACAGAGCAGGATTGATATCCTGCACGTTGAAGAGGGGGTCACTCCAGATCTTACTCAGTAGGTCCTTTGAGAAGTTGCTCACGTAGTACTTGCTGAAGTCCCACTTGCGCAGGATGCGGCTGGGGATGACCATCTGGGCATTCTCATGGCAGCACTGGCAGAAATACTTCCCCAGGTACTCACAGTACCGCAGTCTCTTGATGTAATCTGGGCAAACCCAGGCAGACAGGGAGGTCAGCTGAGGCATAGGCTCTGCACAACCACCTACTGGACTCCCAACATTGCCCAGCATTTCCAGCAAGCAAGGAACCTGCTCGGAGCTACAGGACCCCAAAAGATGACTTTGCCTTAGAAGAGTCAACATCCGAAATGCCCTTCCCAAAGGACAGGCTGGCTGCTCTTTGTCTCTACCAGCCCTGTGACCTTCTGAAGAAGGAAGCTCCCCTGTGGATGGTGCACACTAATATATTTGCAGGCAAAGCTGGTAAAACCACCATATCATTTTGCCCAGTGTCCTTGTCCTGAGCTCTGCCACCACACACCCACTGTGTGTCTTTCCACTTGTTCACAGTATTCCCCATTCCCCAAGTACAGCTCATGGTCCCAGCACTCACCAGGATCAGTCCGGATGCCACAGCCTGCACACCGGTAATTCTGCTTGGCTACACCCACCTTCCTCCTGCCCAGAGACAGAAGACAACGTGCATGAGTCCAGCCCTGATGGCACATGGCACCAGAGGATGGGCACTGGCACAGGGGTGGACAGGAGATGGCCACATGCTTTGCCACTCCAGTGTGGACAACAAATCCAAGGGGAAAAGCCCTGTTGTGCCCTGGTGCACACCAAAGGTGCTGACCACTGGCACTGGCTCCATCTCATAGCACCAGCTATGGTAGTGATCAATGTGCATTTATCGGGCTAAGAACAGGGAAGTCCTGGTGGTCAAGTAGGAAGGAGAGGATAATCAACCTTGGTGTTAATGGAAAAGGGCTGGAAAGGGCAGGACCCTGGAAAGCCATTGGCAGCACAGGTCCTTACGCTGGGGCTGGGTGAACATTGAAGATGATCTGTGGTCGTGGAGGGGCCCACTCCAGGTTTCCGCGCACCCGAATCCTCAGCTTGTAGATGTCGGCATGTTCTCCATCATCAGGAGAGATGGGCAGAGAGTCGGGGATGGGTAGGAGCTGGAAGAAGCAGGGAAGTGGGTAGATCCCTGCCAGGTACAGCAAATCCAATGCACCTGGCTGGCTTGCCAGAAACCTCTGGAAAACTGCCAGGCATCAAGTTGCTGCTCCAGCTGAACAGGGGCTGGAGGAGGGATGTCCCCAAGGATGTGAGCACTCTGCTGTTGGAGGCTGTGGTGGCAGAGCCCCACTGAGCTGAACCCCAGAGCCTGGACAAAACCCCTCCTCCAGCTCCACAAAAGGATCACGAGCAAAGCCCCTCAGCAGTAGGCAGAAGCCAGGGATCTGGGGAAGATCAAGTACTCACAACCCTACCTTCTGTGGAGCATCATGCTCAGGGACCAGCCACTCCAATTCAGAGGCAGCTGGGAGCTGCATGCCCTCAAACTGCTTCAGCAAGCCCATGGCCACAGCCTCCGCTGAGTTGGAATTGAGGAAGGAATGGGATCTAGACAGTGAAGGGGACGGTTAGTACCAGGTCTCACAGCTGTGCTCTCCTCAAAACCCCTGATGCCTGTCCCATCTCAAGCTGAAGATGCCCCCTTCAACTTTGGTACCTGATTTCTGCACTGCTACACAGGCCTGCAATTGAGATACGTTATTGATTTCTATCTTTGCAGCTGCCCTCAAGTAAAGCTGGCTAATGGCACAACAATTATTTAGAAAGGCAAGCAAAACATATCTTACTTAATAAAACCTGTGCCTGTTTGCAGGGGAAGCTGCAAAGTGAGAGCCAGAACTGCTCTCCCAGTACAAACCTACCCAAGAACCTTCCAACCACAGACACGGCTTTGTATCTTACCCAGCTAGCAAAGGGGTCCCTGCATCCCATTAGGGTTTTGCTTTCAGAGCATTAACAGCAGCAGTGCTTAGAACAGGTGGTGATTCCCCTCCCCACAGCACCCACCTCATCACCCCAGGGCAGTACCAGGAAAGGACTGAGCACTTCAAGTTTAAGCTGCTGCCACACTGCACAGTCAGTGAGCATTGCTGTGTGCCAGCAGTTCCACCTCTGGGTCACAACACCGCAACAAGGGTTGGAGAGAAGGTGTCAGCACCACGTAGTGTATCAGGCTATCCCAGTTGAGAGGAGAGAGGCAGGGAAGGATCAGAGCCAGCAGCAAGCCAGCAGCCAGTCCAGATGCTTCAGGTTATGCCATGTCCTCTCCCCAGCCTCTTACCTACCAGGAGGTGTGGGCCTGTCTCCTGACACTTGTCCATATCATATCTACCTCATGAGTATCCTGATCATCCCAGGTGCTGCTTACCAAATTTAAGACTAGAACCTAGTGCCTCACTGCTAAGTAAAGAGAGGGAGAGAGGGAGGGAAGGGGGGAAGAAAGGAGGGAGGGAGGGAAGAAGGGAGGAAAGGAGGAATGTCCACTCCAGTGCAAAACAGGAGCTGATGAACTTGGAAGAGCAGAGTTGGGCAGGAAAGGGAACTTGGTAACAAGATGTCTCGCCACAAGCCGCAAACGTACATGGACTCTGAGGAGAGAAAGGGCTTCCTGCTGGAGTCTGGGTTCCTCTTGATGTCTGCATCTGAATCACAAACAGACAAAGTGGAGCAGATGGGGCAGGGCAGGGGGATACACTCATTTCAAACCAAAGCTTCATTGTAAAACTCATCAAGCTGTTCAAGAGCACGTGAAATAACTACAGCATCAACTTCTACCAGTGAGCAGCAAGGAGAGGTGCAGTCTAATCAGTCACCTGTCAGGAGTTTCAAGGGAGACATGGTAAGATGCTGTGAAAACAGTGAGCCTGGGGCTTGGGGGAGTTGAGTGGCTGCTGGTCACACACCAAGTCCCAGCAGCGAATGGCCTGAAACAGTACACACACAGGAGCTAGGAGGACAGGACAGCAAGGTTAGGAGGACAGGACAGCAAGGTTAGCAAGAAGGTTTAGTAGCTCTCTACACAGTATAGATGCTGCAGGGGATTAGCAATGGGATGCAGACCACTTCTCTCTACTTGACTACAACCTGTAAGATCAGACAGTGGCCATGCCTCAGCTTTTCAGTGGCTGCACAGCCAGGGCTGGTAGCCTCATCCAGCACTCCAGAAACATGTCAGCATCTATGCAGGAAGTGGGCTGGCCCTATGGGTGCCACATGCTCTGCACAGGCCACAGGCCCATCTACCAAGGAGGGGGAGTCCAAGGTAAGATGCAGGAGGACCCTGGGGTCCTGCTCCCTCCATCAGCTCCCCAACAGCCCTGGGCTGCCCCACATTCCTCCTCGGTGCCAGCCTCAGGTGCAGACAGTACCCGATGGTACCTTAATCACTCATCCTTTCTTTCATTCTGGCAGGTTAAACCCTGACAGGGAATTTATCTCAACAGTGGAAGGACCCTGGGACAGGAGACTCTTCCAGCAGTACACGGTAGGCAGAAGCAGGCAGCAACACTGCTTCATTGCAGAAGGACTCCCAGAAAAGGGAAGAAGGACATAGAAGGGGAAAGTACTATAGGTCAGACAGTACAGAGACCAATGCCACAACCTTCAGCCCAGTAGGTCTCCTGTTTTGTACCTCTAGGGAGCTCTAGCACTGGGGTCTGCAGTGACCCTACCACCCCCAAACACAGGCTCGCAGCTTTCCTACCCAATGGCCCAGTGCCAGTACATGGTCCAACAAAGAGTCCATCTGCTCCTGGCCAGGCACCAACCACACACTGGGGCCAAGGGAATCACAGTCTGGCTGACTGAAGAGTGTCACCCCAGAGCCATTGGCTCCCTTAGGAAGAGTGGGGCTGCCCTGGCAGCAAGGGGAGCAAGTTCCACTCCTGCCCATAAATTTACAGACTCACACCAGAGGAGTCCAGCATGGATGCTTGACCCTCCACGTTTGACATCCATTGCTAGAACAGAACAGTAAAGCATCCTAATTCTAAGGAATCCACATATCTACATCATGCAAATAGACTTCTAGCTGCACAAAACAGGGAAATCAGGCAAATATAGCCTCCCGACTACGGAGGGCACTGGCTAGACATACCTGCCATGCCCTGGTGCCTTTGGCTCTGCATAGGAAGGTGCTCCGTTGTCCTGGAGTACAATGAACATGAGCAAACAGCGGAGCACACGCAGCACAGTGTGGGCTAAGTGTTATGGAGAAGAAGAGCCAGCACACTTTGGCACTGGCATCATCTCAGGGATGGCAGAGGGAGCCAAATCTGACCCCAGGCTCCCATGGGGGCTCTCACTGGAATGCTGCCACCACTCACTTCCCAACCTTAACTGCAGACACTCCTCAAAAGCCTCCAGCTAGCTGCCTGAAATGCTTCTGCTGCCAATGCTATCACCAGGTGGGATAGTCTCCAGAAGGCTTGTGAACAAACACAAACCCAAGGACATTACCCCAGTCCCTGTATGCCAGTTTCAGGCCAGGATGAGACCCCCATGGATCAATCCCTGGGCTGTAAACACAGGACACAGTAGGGCTGGTGGGGAAGCTCTGAGCACCAGCATCTCCAGCACGAGCAACATGCTGGCGCCAAAAAACTGACAGGAGGGATCAGCAGCAGCTCACATAGGCTGCTCCCTTGCTAAAGCAAACAGGGGACACATGAAGGTTATTCAAATGCAGCCAGAATACTGGAAGGATTATGTAGTAGCACTGTAAACAATAAAAACACTAAGCAAGATCTGGCTGCACATGATCCTGGTGTTCAGGGCTCCAGTGTAAAACAAACTGCCTGTGCCCTGTCTGCTCTCACCACTTCTCCCTCCAGGACTTCCTTCTGGAAGGATTCTTCTCCAAGCCAAATCTGAGCAGGATGGCAAAGTTTGGCTGTGGTTCAGATCAGAGCAACAGGGCAGCAGCCCTGCCAGGACAAGCAGGATAATGCTCCCCAAGGCACCTGTAGAGGTCTCTGTGTTTGTTCAGCTTAGGCTCAGCCTTCAGCAGCTACAGAACCACAAAGCTGTGCCATCACCCTGCCAAGCCCTACCCCACTCAAGACAGGTCTTCACCACAGCCGGCTTGTTTGGTATATCTGAAATACTGTATGGCAAAACAAGCTGGGGGATGGAGCCCACAGCAGAGCTCCTCTGCCTCCTCTCTGCTCCATTCTGTATCATCCTGCCATAGCTTCTCTTGGTGATGTCTGGATGATACTGTTCACAATCCCCACTGCAGTCAAACCAGGCAGATTTCTGAGCAGTGTGCACATGCACACACACACAGCTTGCACACAAACACACACGTGCTGCAGAGGAGCACTGCGGTGTACTACCTGAGAACAAGGAAGCCATTGACACTGAGAGGCCGTTCTTGGACATTTGAATCAGGTTAGATCCATCGTTACCATCTGCATAACATGGTGATGACAAAATAGTTGACTTCAGTGCTTCAGCCAGGCCAAAGAGACAGGGCATAATACAAGAGCAGCACTCACACAAGAAACCCAGAACTGAATTCACACACCCCTCCTTGGGCTTCAAAATCAGGCCAAAAATGTAGCCCTCAGTGACTGAAAGGAGAGCTTTGCTATATCCACAGTTAAGAGACAAGAAATTTAAGCTGGAGAGTGGAGAGTGCTCTGTCTTCTACGATTTTATCTCCTTTTTAAAGTCAGTAAGATGAAACTACTGCTGAGAAGTCAGTCATCCACCTCAGAGGATAAACAAGGGTCTGAAGAAAAGAACACCCAGGGACCCCGACAGGTCTCCTGTGGGCAATAAGCTCAGCCACCCAAGCTGCCAGGAGCAGAACAGAGGTATTGTAGGTCAGGATGTGACCAACACCCACTACTGCCACCCAAGAGGTAAGTAGTCAGAGCTACAGCTCCTTCTGCCTGGGGATGAGGGGAGCAGGATGGCAGCTCTCCCAGCTGTCTCTAGCTGTGACAGCCACTATGTGGACCAGGCAATGAAACAGAAACCTACTAGCCAGAGGCACTGAATGCTAGAGAGTTAGAGGATTTTGAAGGAAAGCTATGCCACCACATGAGGGAAACTGGTTGCTCTTCTCAGGCTGAGAATTCAGCCAGTTGTTTGGGCAAAGTCATCCTGAAGTGAGAGGGATGGGCTATTTTTCAGCAGGACTGACTTCAGCACAACCACATCAAGGGGAAAGCTGTCCCTATGCAAGGAGCAACACAGCCATTCCCTCCTACCTCGAATCTCGTACTCTTCCACATCCTCTGCAGAGCCAGAGTCAGAGAGTCGCATGGAGCCATGGGAGCTGAACTGGGACCCGCTATCTGTCACCACAAGACCTGGGAGAAATGCAACACAACCAGGCCATCAATGGAAGTGGTCTGAAGGGTCATTGACAGCTAAGGGACAAGTTGATAGCCAGGCATGGCCAGGGCAGGGAGGGACAGAGGTCAAGGCTGGAAAACACTATGGGTTCAAAATCAAATTACATTCCATAACTCAGTGACAGCATCACACAAGGGTTACATCATTAGTCCCATTATGATCTTCAGTAGCAGCAGAGTTTCACAAATCTCTGCAGCACCTTTGTAATCATGACTGTTTCTCACAAATGGGCAGGAAGGCAGGATGCTATAAGGTCAGGCAACAGACAGAAACCCCACATGCTAATAACTGATGAGCCCAAAACACATCACCCACTGTCTGAGCCCATCCCCTGGCAGGTAGGGTACAGGTGCCTGGTGCGGATCTGCTGGCGCCGAATGCGAATCTTTTGTTTAAGCTCCTGGATTTCCTTGTCGCTGTCTTCCTCCTCCTCCTCCTCCAGCTGTCGGCTCATCATGTTGCATTTCATCAGCTCAATGGCAGCGATCAGGGACTCTGAGATGCTGAAGTGGGCATTCTCCTGCAAGGCAAGAGCAAAAGTATTCAAGGCTGTAGCACAGAGAAACTAGGAAGACATGGTAAATATCCTGTCTCCACCTATGACAGCAAAGAACTTACTGCTCATGGAGAGTGGTAGGAAGATCTTAAGCCCTGTCAATCACACAAAACCTGACTCTTCTAGGAGGACCTAGAAACTAAAGCCTTCCTGGGCACCAGAATACTTCTACAAAGAGGTTGTGCAATAAATCCACTCCGAGCAGTCAGCACATGTCACGGAGGAGCCCTAACATGTTGCAAAGCTGCTGTGTATATGCTGTTTGGGCAGATCCCGGCTGCCAGACACCATCACAGAACTTAACCTTGAAGTTCTGTGTGCACACCTCTGTAATAGGAAACACTATGGCATTATCTTCCCCACAGAGGAAAGTATCACTGAACCTGCAGTAAGATACATTCTCCAATGCACAGACTGCTGCTGCCTCCCTCACCTTCTCCAGGTCTGCACAGCTTCCAAAGTCCTGCTCAGAGAGGTAGCTGATGAGGGACTGCCCTTCTGAGGGTCTTCTGAACATCCCTTCACCCGAGCTCAGGTACTGTCCAGAGTCTACAAAAGCAAGAGACAAACATATTAGGGAGGCACCTGCTGTTATCCCCCTGCTAATGAGCCCTGCCAGTGCCCAATCAGCATCCCATAAGAAAGTGCCTAAAGCTGAGGCCACCGCAGCCTGACCAGGAGCATGCATCCCTGATGAAGCTGGCTGTACACACCATATTCCATGTAGAGTGAGCTGGGTGTGCTCAGTTCACTGCTCTGGGTAGAAGCAGAGACTGGCCTTCTCCCTCCACTTGGATCATCGTGGGACTCTGGAAGAGAAGACACCAGGCACAAATCAGTATCCCAGAGGTGCTCAGCCACTGCACAGGGTGAAATGAAAGGGGCTCAGCATCGCATGGGCAGGCACAAATGGATGGAAAGCACAGAGGGATATCTTTCTGCTCCATGCAATGACTAGGGGCAAGCCCAGGAGGGGACAAAACTAGAAGGCATTTCAGGCAGGAGAAGAGGAGGGACAGAAAGAAGGTGAGATACTCATGAGATGCCACAGAGCAGTAAAGTCCGGAGCTGCCTTCTCTTTACTCCCTAGCAGAGCTGGGGGACACAACAGGCTCCAGCAAGTGCCTCTTGCATGCCCTTTCTTTCTGATGGAGCACCTTTAAGAAAAGAGCTATGTCCAGGGTACTGAATCATGAGAAAGGGGAAACCTGAGGAGCTGAGGGATATGTGGGGCTCCCAGCCCTGCAAAACAGCCCAAACAACTAAAAGGAGGCATCTGAAGGACATGCGCTTGCCCAACTAGAAGCCAGGGTTCCCTGGTCACCTGTAGTCCTCAAGGTGACCTGCACAGGCTGTGTGCAGGGCACTGCCCTGTGCACACACTTGTGGTGCAACTCTCTGCCAGGCTGAACTGGCAGGGACTGTCACGAGCTGGTGTGACCAGAGACCAGCAATGGATAGTGCTCTATGGAGAGCCACAGCCCCAGAGAGCACCTGGATGACCAAGGACTACTGAGGGAGACTGAAAACACCCTGACTGAAGCAGGACAGGAACACACAGGTGTGGACAGAAGGACTGGTGCCAGCTGATATCCTGACATGCTGAGCAAAACAGAAGGGCAACCCCATCCTCTCAGCTTCCTGCTCCTCTTTGTTCCCAGCTTTGTGCCATAACCCTGACGTGGCTGGAGGCTCCTGAGCCCACCAACACCAGCACGTCCCTGCAAAGACCATGAAGCAGGCACCAGGATCAGCCCTGGGATTAACCCACCTGACAGGCTGGGTGACAAAGGAAGCCCGCTGGGGTGGGAGGCTCCCATAACTAATCACAGCAGCCTGGCAGAGTATCCTGCCGCCACCTCAGCCCTGCTGAAAACCAGCACAGAAACCACCTCGTGATCACCAGCCTGGGGAATGCCACATACAACAGAGCCCACTGCTGAAGGGTAAAACAATGCAGTGCTCAGAATCCTCTGCTGGGGCAGGACACAGGGCTGGACACACGTGTCTGAATGTCCACTACCACTAGAAAGGAGCCTTTGCAACTGCAAGAGCACTCAGCACCCAGCTGTAAGCTTGACAAACCCACTGCTGCTGTTCAGTGGAGTACAAAAGAAAGCAGCCCATTTTTTTAGAGCTCCTGACTCTTTCTGCATGTGGGGGAAAGGGATGGCAGCACCCCAGCACCTCAGCTTGAGGGAAAACCTGCCCCAGGCTCAGCAGATCAGGCGGAGTCCTGCCCTGGCTGTGGGTGCAAACACAGCTGACTGGGATGTGGCTGACCTCAGCCAACATCAAACCTCCAAATGCCACAGACCCACTAAATGAAAAGAAAAATAAGATGTTCAGGCCTGCTTAGCTGCCAGTCCTTACTTGCTAAGTGAGATATGAAACCTCTCCTGGCTCCCAAGGCAGCAGGGTAGAGGGAAGAGCAGAGGATGCATCTCAGGGACTTAGTGGCCAGCACTCTGTAACACCATGTAGGGGAGCTGGGTGCCCTTCTGAGTCTGGCCCACTGTTCCCAAAATCCAAGCTAGGATCTTCAGTCAGGTCACATGCATAAACCTGATTGTGCTTCAAAGCATCAGCTGGGACACAGAGAAGAAAGATTATTTTTTTTTTTTTTTTAAATGAGCACTAATGGATTGATGGAAATCCTGAACTTGATGCAATGATCACTAATGAAGGGCTGTTACACTGGCTCCCAAACCTGCCACTGGATCTTCTATTATAATGGTGATATCCCTGAGGCCTCCTGGGCAGACAGAGAAGGAGAAGGGCAGCATTAAGGGAGAGAAAACAGAGACAGACTGGTTACCACTCAGCAAGGGCCTCCACTTCTCCCATGAAGGCAGCAACAGTGGGGCAGACTCCCAGACTGGTTGTCCTCTCACATCCTTCCCCCCCCTACTCAAGCACAGGACCCAGCAGGTTACCAGAAGGATGACATCCTACCAGTAGGATGAGCCCAAGCTCCAGCTCAGTGCCCTGCCAACCATGGCCCCATGCCCCAGCCAGGCAAGGCCAGTGGGGAAGCAGGACAGTTAATGCCATGCCATTGCTGGCATTTTCTAAGTTTTGGTAAAAGCTGCCAATACCAGTAAGAGACTGGCCCAGGGCATTCTGGGAGGCAAAAGGTCAGCCCATCGTTCCAGTGTAGTGCAGGAAAGTAAGGGCAAAGACCAAATTTACCAACCACTTGCACACTGTTCCCCTCACCAACCAGATCCATGGTGTCAAAGGGGTGGCCAGCATGAGCCTCCCAGTACCGGGGACTCCCATACCCCAAAGCCATCCCAGAAAAGCTCCTCCATTACCGTGCAACTTCCCCGAAGCCACGTTCGTGTCAGAGTGTGAGCGCACGTGGCTCTTCTTGAGGATGCCCTGTGTAGCTGATGACTGTCCTTCTGAGAAGCTGGACCGGCGCAACAGGCTCAGGCCCCTGCTTCCACCTCCACTTGCCCCCTGCTCCCCCAGGGATGAGACCGAGTCCAGCTTCTGGGAGCTGCTGGAGGAGAAGAGTTTGGAGCTACTGCTCTTGGTGCTGTTGGTGCTAGCACTGCTGCACGCTCGGCCCCGGCGGCCCGAGTTCCCAATGGCCAGGTACTCTGGCCCATCATTAACATCGCTCTGTGGATCATCCTGACTCCCCATCCAAGTGTCCTCACTCTGGCTGGTGGTGCTGGAGCTCATCTCACTGGCTGGAGAGAAGGGGTCTTTGGGTGAGGGTACATTGAAGTGGGTGACAGAGCTGGGCTGCTCCAGAGGGGACCTGCCCTCACTGAAGGAGGAAGACTGGGTGGACGGGCAGCGTTCCTGGGGCTGGCTGGCACTGAAGCTGATGGAGTTGCTCGCTGATCTCCTGTCTGGACAGAATCAGGAGCAGGATGTCACATACCCTGGCACAAGCAGAGCACCCTATGTCTTCACGCCAGCATGTCCACACCCCATGAGCCCATTCTCACCAGGGATCTCCCTCCCATTGCAGGCACCCATCCACCACAATGAATCAAAAAGCAGAAATAAAAGGCAAAGTCTTTTCTGGGTCTATCCTGAACTTCCAAGCACCCCTCATTACCTGAGAGGCCAGAGGAGGCTGGAGAATGAAGGCTGGAAACGGACCCAAAGCAGCGCTGCTGCATGCAGTCTGCAACCGGAATGTATGGGGATGCGGGAAGGGCAGTCAGGCTCTGACTCTTGGTCACTGGAGGTGGACCATCACTCTTCCTGGTAAGCTGAAGAGAGGTGGCATCATTAATAAATTAGCATTTACAGGGCATTTACACATCAAAGGAGCAGTAAGGGAAAGGAATCAACTTGCTAGTGCCTGGTCACCAGCCAGCAAGGATGTGGCAGCCCTGAGGGCAGGAGGATGGGGAGGGAAAAACAGAGGTGCAGAAGGGAAGCGGCTCTTTGTTTGCAGTTACGTGGCAGGCTCCCTTTGGGAAATTACCAGGCTCTCAGTGAAATGATCCAGGCAGCCCAGCGCCCCAGACAGATGGCTCTCATGTCCTTCAGAGTCGTGGTCACACATCTCTCTTGTACCAGCAGAAGGACCTGATGCGCACAGGGATGGCAGTGACGTGCCGGCCAGCTGAAAGAACACAGCTCCCATTAAATGGAGCCTCATTAATTGCTCTCCTCTGGGGAGCTCTGTGTAAAGAAAGCAGCTGTTGTTCCCATCCTCTGGGGAGGGGGAAGACGGTGTGGGGCTGCACGGGGGTAACTGGCATCACCAGCAGGAATGGGCACCCAGGTGTCCTGGGGTGCTGCCTGTCCCTCGGATGGTGGCTGTCCCTCACAACCAGGCAGCTCTGCTCACTGGCCCTGAAGCCTATTTGAGAGGGCTTCAGAGGTGCCTCTTAGAAGGAACCAGTCCTCAGGTCCTCATACTCAAATCCTCGATGTCAGCCAGAACCAAGGTGCCCCACTACACAAGGCTCCACAAAGCCACCTCCACCACCCCGACCCCTGCCAGTCTCACACAGGCAGTGGAGGGATAAGTTCACTGCTCTCCTCCCCTCTTGGAGCATCTTCGGCTACTTCCAAGTCCAGCCCCTTGTCCAAGGGCTACATGTGGCCCAAATAAGACCTCCCACAAGCAGCCACAGCCAGCCAGCATCTGGAGAAAACCAGATGTAAAAGACAGGACCTCAACTCACCATGGAGGTGTCGATCTGAGCCAGAAGCCTGGGGTTGTTCTGCTCAACAGCCTCCAGGCACTGCAGCATGGCCGTCACGTGTGCGTCGCTGAGCAGGAAGGCAGTGTCTGGGGAGAGAAAACTGCTGCTTGGAGGGGTCCCTCTCATCTGCGTGGTTTGATAGTGTCAGTTCCTCACATTCAAACCATCTTTTCTACCATCCCACTCACTCCTATGTGGCTTAGAAATGCCACTAGCTAGATATTTTCCTAATAAGAAGGAAAAAGCCCATTTCTCTTTACCTGCATAGAATTTCCTGATGTATTGCCGGTTCCCCAGGAGTGGTCTCAGCTGTGCTGACAGGCAGTGGCACTGCAGGCTGTGCTGCAGCCACAGCTGTGCAATGGCCTGGTCCCCTGGGCCCTCAGGGTCAGGCTTACCGCTCTCCTGCAGGCTGATGAACTGGAAAGAGACACCAGGTACAGGTTAAGACAAGCACTGGAGCAGCACTAGTCACTGTCAGCGGGAAGGAGGACACATCCCAGCAGCTTCTTTGCCACCAGGGAGCCAAAGCACCAGGCAGGAGCAATGCTTCAAAGGTCAGCCAGTGACCAAAGTCCTCTGACAGCCACCAGCAATATGAATTTCTCTTGCATGTTTTCCCATATATGTGCCTCGCCCCTGACCTAATGGGACCCCACACTCCCAAATCCAACCTGACCCCCGTGGTGACGGTCATGTTCTTGCTGACATATTAACTGTGGAAGGTTATGGCAATGCCCGAGCTGCTGCAGCTTGAAGAGCTAGACTGTTAGAGATCTGCACAGACACATGAATCACCTCTGCGTACACACAAGTGCCGCTTGTGCCAGTTTCCTTGGTGACGCCTGCTGTACCCGGCCAAGCCAAGCTGGAGATTGGCCTGGGAGAAATAAGCAGCCAATTGTCTCAGCCCAAGCCATGTCGAGTTCCTGGGACGTGGCTTGTACACAAACACAAGGCTGCCTCAGCCTCCACAAACCATGGGACTGCTTTACTCCCAGCAGGCCAGCAGCTAAGGCACTGCTATCCCAGCAGTGAGGCTTGCAGCACAGCTACCCAATCCCATCCCTGCTGGGCACACAGGGCCACCCCCCCAGAACTCACCTTCTCCAGGTGATGAGCAGAGCCAGGACTCAGCCAGCGAATGTCCTTCACAAACTGCCAGTAATCCTTCTGTCTGCAGCACACCTGCATAGGACAGGCACAGTTAGATACCACCAGCCAAGTCCCACTTAAATGACATCTCCCATTAGCCCCTTGCCACAGAGGACAGCCCCTAAACCTGGCAAGGTGAGCCAGAAAACAGGCAAACACATCCCAGCAAACCCAGCAACCATTGCTGTTTTCTGATGCAAACCACCACTGAGGACACCAGCACAGCTGAGCATCCCAGGTAGGAAATTTGGCATTGCACTTCTATCAACTCCTTGCTTCCGTTTGCCTCAGCTTTATTCAAACACTGGATTATTTTGCTCTTAGTTTTTCTTGCCATTAAAGAGGAACTGCAGCAGAGTTGCTGTTTCCCTCACCACCCCCTAGGGTGTAAACACAACCCCAAAATATCTCTGTTCACCAAAAGACTGAATTGTTTTTCTTCTATCTTTATTTCCTCTTTCACAAGTGGCAGAGGAATGGGCTCTGTTTCGTGGTTTATTTGGCTGGGGGAGAGATGTTGGTTTGTTTTTTTAAGACTAGAGAACTAACATGGCAATTTTAGTTCTCTAGATTGAATAGGGTGTTGTGGTTTTTTTTTTTTTTTTGAACAGGTAGGTAAAATTCACTTAAAAGTTTAAAAAACTCTTTCCATTTTCTCAACACGTACATATGAATTTTTCCAAAAAAAGCTGATGAAATAATAAGCAAAATTAATTGTTTTGCTGGAGCAACTATGAGAAAACTGCTGTTAGGAAGCTGTATTTATGTGCCTCCCTTTGCAGCTTATATAGCTTGACTGGTGCTGCAGGTGCCCAGACATGGGAGACATTTCTAAGAGAAAGAGCTGCCTTTGCCTACCTGAAAAGGATTCAGGAAGACACCATTCTGCTTTGCAGGTCTGGCATGAACTGTTACCAATAGTCAGACAAGTACAAATAATTTAAATCTCACTTCCTGAAGCCTATTAATAGCACATCTATCAGAAGGGAGCACCGCACGCCTCAGATGAAAGGTAGCTTCTCTCTCTGTCGATCTCTCAAAGAAGCTCCTATTCCCTGGGAACTAATGGGATTAGAGAGGCACGGTAAAGAATGCTGACTGCAAATTTAATGAATCCAGGGAGCAAAGCACCATGCTGGGATGACATGCCAGCCTGGCTCTTCCTGGAGGCTTATTAGCTGGGGTGCAGCACTGCAGAGGTGTGGTTTTCCTGCTCCTGGCCCATGCAAGCTGCCTGGGGCTCCTCTGCATCCCTCTCTTGCCTGCATTGCTCTCTGGGCCCCAGAGCCAAGATGGGAAGCCTGCCCGCGGGCATGCCCTGCAGACTTGCTTCAACCCTCCATTGTAAATTAATTGTGCTGGTAATTGTAAGCTGAAAGGGAGATCTTCAAGCCTCTGTACACAAGTGGGAAAGAGAAGTTCTCCCAGGCAGCCATGAAAGGGGGAATGGTTGTGTGAGTAACTGCAAGGCACAAGAGCCTGGAAAGAGATCCCATTCACAGGAAGCCAGATTTGGCTGCCAGTTTCTGCTACTAACACAGTTAACCGGAAACAGTAAAGATGCAAGGTTTTCTTGCCAGACTTCGCTGCAGAGTTGTCCAAGTGCAGACAATATGGGGTCAACTCATCACAAACGCAACTTTATCACTTGGCTGCAGCAGGAGGAAAGGAGAGAGGGGCTGACCTCAGCGCAGGGGCACAGGTACTTAGAATAACTATGTCAAAGGTGGATGAGATAGAAAGAACACACACTCAGGTCCCTCTGACAACCACAGCACTTGCCAGGCAAGTTCAGTTCCAGCTTCAAGCATTTCCCGCACTGCTACAAGCATTGTACCCACTCCATGCTAGGAGCACTGAAGCGAGCTGCAGCAAATAGGACGGCCCCACTTGCTCATGACAGGCACCAAAGCTGCTACAGCAGTGCTGGCAGGACAGAAGGCTACCTTGTCATGGATGAGCCCATGATAGAGGATACTATGCATGTCTCTGCAGAGCCGTTCCAAGCCACCATACTTGGACCAGACATTTGGGTTGCTGGTGGACACCAAACCTTCCACTGTAGTCTTCAGGTTGCCTAGTAGCTTCCAGTGCTCCTTCCTGCAGAGGAACACAGCAAGTTGCATCAGATATAGAGCAAGAGGAGATTCACAACAGGATCATGGTACTGGTATCTCCAAGGAGACTCTGGTCAGGCTGAAACCTTTGGTGGTCCAGAAGCTAGCAAAGGTGAGCTAACACTCTACAACTCCTTGTGGTCTCCCACACATGCTTTGTGGACAAGAGGCTGTATCGTAATGATTCTTGTGATGACTGGTAGTCACCACCAATGTGGTCTCAGAAGGCAACCAGAACAAAGACTCATGGTTCCTGCAATATGCCACTTGCCTGGTACACACCAGCAAAGCTGAAGGACATTTTTCCAGCCAGCCTCTTGCTTGTTTCATTCACAAGCTCTGTCAGAAACTGTTCAGAGCAGCAGCCCATCAGGAGTACAGCAGTTGTAAGGCAAAAGCATGATGTCTGCCCCATTCAAACTAGTTGATGCCATGATTCTATACAGCAGATACTGGCCATGCTGCAGCCACATTTACAGAGAGCAGCACGCCCTGAGCAATATGTACTGCACCAAGCACTCCAGCACTATCACGATGCAGAGGTGCACTACTCCAAGGCTGGTAACTCTTCACCTGCATCTCCATCTGTACAGCTGCCCTCTGGCTCCTGAGCTCCCGTAGGTACAAGTTGACTTTCTCGCAAAAGCATTCATCATGTTCCGGACAGAGATTAACAAACTGCAAACTACAGCTGTACTCAAGAGCTTGCACAGCATTTCTCATTGGTACGACCCACCTCAGCCACCCTCCATACAGTAAGAAATCACCATGATTGGCTATAAAGGAGGAGTGACAGTGCAGAGAGGTAATATCATTTGCCTATGCAAAAGCAACTTTGGGGAAGGAAGCTTTGGACAACTAAGGTCCCTGCTCAAGCTCCTTGACTATGTTGTCAGAGGAACAGCAGCTCTAAGAAACATGTATTCAGACAGAAGCTACTCTTTCAGAAGCAGCAGGAATGTTGCAATGTCTATATAGGGGTGTAAATACCAAAAAAACTGCCTCTGCAGGGTTTGTAACAAAAGCACCCAAGGTGATAGCTTACAATGAAAGTCCAACCTTTCATCTTGCAAGAAACAAGCCAGTGTTTCAGCAGTTAATTCCTCCCACAGCCAAAAGTAAACTGAACTTCCAAAGCAAAAGGGGAAAAATATAAAATAAAAAATAACATTATTTAAAACTGCTCTTTGTAGATGAAAGTGTGGGCTGCACACTTCTGCAGCACAGAGAACGATACTAAAAAATAACATAATCCTGGTATTTAAAACCAACCTTTCCTTGCCAATATTATCTTTTTGAGACTTGTTCACTATTGCTAAACTATTGACCAATTTGGTGGCCTTCTATGATGGGGCTACAGAACTGATGGACAGGTATAGAGCAGTTGATGTCATCTACCCGGACTTGTGCAAAGTGTTCGACACTGTCCGACACAACATCCTTGTCTCTAAATTGGAGAGACATCAATTTGATGGATGGATCACTCGGTGGATAAAGAAGTGGCTGGATGGCCGCACACAGAGAGTTGTGGTCAATGGCTCAATGTCCAGCTGGAGACCAGTAACGAGTGGTGTCCTTCAGAGATTGGTGTTGGGACCGGTCTTGTTCAACATCTTTGTCGCTGACATGGACAGTGGGATTGAGTGCGCCCTCAGCAAGTTTGCCGATGACACCAAGCTGTGTGGTTCGGTTGATACGCTGGAGGGAAGGAATGCCATCCTGAGGGACCTTGACACGCTTGTGAGGTGGGCTGATGCCAACCTCATGAAGTTTAACCATGCCAAGTGCAAGGTCCTGCACCTGGGTCAGAGCAATGTCAGGCACAGCTACAGGTTGGGCAGAGAAGAGATTCAGAGCAGCCCTGCAGAGAAGGACTTGGGGGTGTTGGTTGATAAGAAAATGAACATGAGCCGGCTTCAGTGTGCGCTTGCAGCCCAGAAAGCCAACTGTATCCTGGGCTGCATCAAAAGGAGCGTGACCAGCAGGTCGAAGGAGGTGATCCTGCCGCTCTACTCTGCTCTCGTGAGACCTCACCTGGAGTATTGTGTGCAGTTCTGGTGTCCTCAACATAAAAAGGACATGGAACTGTTGGAACAAGTCCAGAGGAGGCCATGAGGATGATCAGGGGACTGGAGCACCTCCCATATGAAGACAGGCTGAGAAAGTTGGGGCTGTTCAGCCTGGAGAGGAGAAGGCTGCGTGGAGACCTCATAGCAGCCTTCCAGTATCTTAAGGGGGGCTATAGGGATGCTGGGGAAGAACCCTTTATAAGGGACTGTAGTGACAGGACAAGGGGTAATGGGTTAAAACTTAAACAGGGGAAGTTTAGATTGGATATAAGGAATAAGTTCTTTACTGTTAGGGTGGTGAGGCACTGGAATAGGTTGCCCAGGGAGGTTGTGAATGCTTCATCCCTGGCAGTGTTCAAGGCCAGGTTGGACGAAGCCTTGGGTGCCATGGTTTAGTGTGAGGTGTCCGTGCCCATGGCAGGGGGGTTGGAACTAGATGACCTTAAGGTCCTTTCCAACCCTAACTATTCTATGATTCTATGAAACTGATTAAGTGAACAAGCAGATCATCAAATATTGGGTCTACTTCAGGCTCTCCGTTCACTCCCTTCACAAGGTCTCCCCAGTGAAACCTCACCACTTTCAGTGCCCACCTAAACTTAAACAGAAGCCAGCCCATCCCACCAGCAAAGCCTGTCACCCTGACAACACAGGAGCTCCAAAGCAGAGCTACATGTAGATGTATATATATGTATGTATATATTTATGATGTACTTAGGCTAACAAGCACTGACAGGGCTTTATCTCAGGAGATTTTATCTCCTTATCCTGAAAGAGATCCAACTTGGGGAGACACAGAAAACTGATACAGCTCTTCTAAATTTATGGGCTGTTCCCATCCCTGCCCTGAGGGATGCAGATGCTCTTTGATCGGGGACTGTGGACACCCAGAGCGGCATCACCAGTCCCCAGCCAAAGAGCATTTGCAGCCACTGAGCTCAAAACTTCACCAGCTCCTCCCCAGGATATTTCTGACACTCAAGAGTTAGGAAATGCAAGTGAAAGCTCAACCATGCTGTTGGTCTTCCAAGTAACTGAGTCAGAGGAACTCCCTCCCATGCTCTTTCATGCTAAAAAGCAAGGCGATGCACCCAAGGATGTGGGGGTAGGACATGCAGAGACGTGCCTTTCTAAACGAACTCTCTCATTAAAGGAGTTGTGAATCTCCCCAGAGGTAGGAAACCAGGGTCCAACAGGCTGGAGTCACAGCTCCCTCCTAGCACAGGGAAACTAAGGTTAAGCGACCCTCAAACAAAATAACCTCAAAATATTAAAACATTGAACTCAGAGGCACATAGGGAATGAGCAGCACAACAAAAGCAACTTTGCAGAGGTGATGCAGAAGCTACCAGAAATGAATTAAACCCCTGTAAGACAGTATGGATCCCATGGGACTTCCTGGTGCAAAGCAGTTCACAAGTTGGACGCACAAGATCCTACTGACACTGAAAACCCAGCTGTTTCTGGGACGGAACACTGTGCATGCTGAAAATCATGCAGTGACATAAGGTTGAAGAAATGAAGACCCATACAGCTGGCTGCAGGTGGCAGGGAAACCACATTTCAGCTTTGACTGGACTTGTGGGATAACCCCAAATTAGCGGCAGGGTTTGCTGCCTTCCCATTGACAGAGCCTGAGCTTGGGCTGCCAGGAGGGATGGAGAAAGCCTGAGCCCAGCTGCCCACAAGTTCCCCATTTCAGCAGGTGTTCAGAGCAATATTAAGAAATCTGCTTGGTCTTCTCTGAATAAAGAGAATTCCCCTTCACTAGTGCTAAAGAAAGGTAAGGCCACTTCGTAATCACATCATAAAAACTTACAGAAGAGCAAGACGAGTGGGGTTTTGTGTCCCACAGAGGTCACAGTACGCGAGCAGAGCAAGAACTACATGTGCTTCTGTTCTCCTGCTCTAGCAGAACCTGGCTCTCCCAGCCAGAATGGTTGACTGTGCTTGCCGGGGCCATCACTGAGACCTCAGCTGCATCGCTCTCCTTCCTTAAAGACAACAACCTCTGATCCAGCCTCTAATTTTAACCACCAGCTCTGTAAACTCGACACTGGGTCTCCTTGCTTTACCTCCACAAACTCTACCTTCAGGTACAGCAACATCAACCTGCCATCAAGAACTGTGTTCAGCATAACTGAATCTTTTGCACTGAAGCAATAGAAGACAGAATACAGCCTTGGAGCAAGAAATGACTTAATGCCTCTGCTGATGACAACAAGAGGGAAACGTTGCTTGCTCTCCCAAGGCTTTCTCAGCCCCTCCATGCCACTGAGGCTAGGAGCTTCTTTTGGTCCAAGGCAGCAAAGGTGACCCACAGCAGAGGCAGAGAGAAATGCTGTTGACTGAGGTGAACTTCTTCATTTAAAACAAAACCAAACCCTGGTTACTTTCCAAAATAGAATCACACAGCTAGTTAGTATTAAAAATATAAAAATAAAATAAAAAAGCAGTCAACATGTGTCTGTGTCCTGCAGGAGGTACCTAACAGGCTGCTTGAACCCTGTCCTCTACCTAGAGAAGGCTTTCAATCCTTCTTAGCACACTAAAAAGGTCAGGCTGAGGATGGTGAGGTCACGGAGGGACTTCCACCAGATCTCCAAGGACATTCCCGTGCTGTCAGTTCCTCCTGCAGATCCCGCAGGCACTGCGCAACCCACTGCTGCGCACACCCTGCTCCCGTTCTCACTATTCCCGGGTCTCCCAGACAACCAGCAGCCCCTTCCCTGGGCTCCCCCACTGCTCCTCCAGCAGGCTCAGCGCTGCTGGGGAAGCGCATTAGAAGGAAGGCAGGTTTCGTGCAATTCATCTGCAGCCATGGGGAGTGGCTGACAAGGCCGAGGAAGCCAGGAGAGCTCTGCCAGCCCGGCAGATCAGCCCTGCAGTGCCTGGATGGGAACACCCGAGCAGGCTGGCAGGGAAACAAAACATAGGGTGGTTTGCAACAGTGCTAAAAGCATTCATCAGTATAAAACAGGGGGCACAACCACAAAAGGCTCCCCCAGCAAATGCAGCCCAGAGCTGCTGCTTGCTGGAGCACTCTTGCTCTGCACTGGCAAACGATGAGGGAAGGAAACAGGGATTAAAGGTGGGTTTTAGCCTTCTCCCAGCACAGCATACCAGTAGTTTCACCTGCTTGTCCTGGTGAAACCTCCCACAGGCAGATGACCACAAAACCATAAATCCAGGATACTGTCCATCAAGCTTTGATCTGCATGGGACCTTGCCTGTAACTTGTGCACAGGCAGCCAGGGGCAGTGACAGGCAGAGCAGACCCCCACGGCAGCCCATCTCCCTGGGACCAGCCACTCACCTTCCTCCAATGCTCCCAGCAAGGCTTCCTTTAGGAACCTTCTCCTCAGGCCCTGCTGATCCTGGGAGCTGAGGGCAGCAGCTGTCAACCTGCCCAGATGACAAGGGCCCCTCTGCTCCCTCCCAGCACTGCTGTGTCCTCCACACCACCCGCCTGAGGCACCGAAAGCCCTGCTCTCTGCCCAGCTAACCTTCCTGCTGCGCCTCAGTGGACATCGCTGTTACAACCCCTGCTCCCCAATGCACGCCAAACCTGCTGCATAGCAGGAGAGACAGCAAAACCCAGTGCAAAATCCTTGCTCTCCTCTCCTGTGCTGGCAGAAGGACGGACTTCAGCAAAATAACTTCTGTTTCTGCATTTCCTGTGATACACAGGAAGATGGCTCCAGTGAGCTCTACCCCACTGCTGTCAGTCACAGCCACAATCTATAGTGAAATGGCACCTCACAGGGAATTAAACTGCTGAACCATTTGCACAAAGGACAATGAGGCTGTGCATGGCCCATGCCAGGATCCTCCCCAGCACATCAGTGATAGCCAGGAGCACAAGCAGGCCCCCTCATATGTCAGCTCCAGAGCGGATGATGCCTGCTGTGTCCCTGGGGGATTGCTGGGGGTGGCACCACCTCAGCCCTATTAATAACACAATGATAGAGTCTGGTAGTGCAGGATTTTCACTTGTAAAGGCAAGAAAATGCACAAAGACAATCTGGAAAAAAAAAAGAAATGAATGCAGTCGACTCCTTTTACCTTTCTGAACCTGCTGGGTCTGAAGTGTTAGCTAAAGAGGGAGAATAGCTTGAACCATGCAAATCAAAAGGTTTGCCCCAAACCTGTGCTGTAGCTTTAAAAGCTACAGCAGCATTTTTCCGGCTGATATTGCTAGCAGGAATAGAGGCTGGCTGAGCCCCTCAGATAAGGAATGCTTGTCTCCCATATCAAGTTTCAGTGGCTCTCTCCTCCACAGCCAACACTCCCTTTTCCATCCGACATCCACACTGTGCCTGTGAGCACCACGGCAAAACTGAAGCACAAAGCAAAGGCTGAAGACATGCAAAACCCTGAAGTAAACAGGACTTGTCATCAAAACACCTCTAGGGAGCAACCTCTGCTGCTTTTATAGATGTCAACAAGAAAAACCATGCCTAAAGCATGAATGAAGACCACACAGCCACTCCTGCAGCCAGCCATGTGCAGGTGCAGGGCCTTGCCTTTAGAAATAGAAAGAAGCTGGGGATTTCTTTTCAGCACCCAGAAAGGGCAATGCAGCTGCCTGCCAGGAGGGTAAGGAGACATGATCCAAAAGCAGCAAGCTGCAGAGCTGCCAGGACAGCAGCAGCACAGCGTCAGGGCGGGATGGCGTCACCCTTAAAACAAGGCGTGTGAAGCAGAGACTTGGCAGCTGCCTTCTTGGCCATGTCTGATGGAGAGTGGCTGTCTCCACCATATTGGAGACAGAGTACAAGGTTCTCAGGGTGTACATCTGTGACTGTCACTGCCAACAGAATCACAGAATGGTTTGAGTTGCAAAGGACCTTAAAGCTCATCCAGTTCCAACCCTCCTGCCATGGGCAGGGACACCTTCCACTAGATCAGGCTGCTCAAAGCCCTGTCCGCCCTGGCCTTGAAGACTGCCAGGGATGGGGCAGCCACAGCTTCCCTGGCCAACCTGTGCCAGTGTCTCACAACCCTCACTGTGAAGAATTTTTCCCTATGTCTAATTGAAGTCTACCCTCTTTCAGTTTAAAGCCATTCCCCTTGTCCTATCCCTGTATGCCCTTGTAAAAAGCCCCTCTCCAGATTTCTTGTCAGCCCCTTTTAAGGCACTGGAAGCTTCTCTAAGGTCTCCCCAGACCATTCTCTTATCCAGGCTGAACAACCCAGCTCTCTCAGCCTGTCTCCATAGGAGAGCTGCTCCAGCCCTCTCGTCATCTTCGTGGCCTCCTCTGGACTCACTCCAACAGCTCCACATCCTCCTTATGTTGGGGGCTCCAGAGCTGGACACTGTACTCCAGCTGGGGTCTCACGAGAGCAGAGCACAGGGGCAGGATCACCTCCCTCGAACCGCTGACCACCCTCCATCCATCAGCAAGATGCCCGCTCAGTGCCAGGGGCAGAGCGGTCCGCTAGTCCTGGGGTGCAATGTGAAGCACTCGGCAGCTGGCCCGGGCTGTCAGCGCAACGCGTGGCTCTGAAACAGGAGGGGCCGAGCGGGGGCAGCGGCACGCCCTGCAGCCGCCCCCCCCCCCCCCCCCCCCCCCCCAGCAGCACGGGGGTTGCCGCGGGTCCCGGGCCCGTCCCGCTCACGCCCCGCGCCGCCGTGTCACACACGCACACGTGCCGCCCCCCGCCGCGGACACACCTGCTCTCCGCGTGCCCCTCGCGGGGACCGACCTCCATCCCGGGCGCGCGGCGCCGCCACCCGCCGCCGCCTCGCCGCCGTCACGTGGGGGCGTGCGCCCGCCCCGCCGGTGGTGAACTACATCTCCCGGCATGCACCGCGGCCGCCCGGCAACCTTCGCGCGGCTGGAAAACCGGGGCTCGCGCCCCGCGGAGGTGGTGGCGTTATGCTGTGGCCGGAGGTTCACCGCAGTTTGCCGCCCGGAGCTTTGTGCTGCCCTCGCTGTTCTCTGCGACAGCATGCCCCCATGAGCCAGCGCCCTGCATGACTCGGTGAGAAGGGAGCAGTGGGCACTATGGGTTCCCGTCAGGCACGGCCGCTGGCGCTGAGCGGGGCGGGCCGGGCCGCCGGCGTCCTCCACCCCTGTAGATGCAGGTTCTCACCTGTGTCTATAACTCACCCCAGGGTGAGTCTATGGCTGCTCTAGGTCCCTGTAGCGATTCGCTGTGTCAGCGTGAAATGTTGAGTTGCCAGTCGGGTTATTGACAGCCCTCCGAGTAAAGCGTTTGCACTGGGGTGTAGCTGCACCACAGTGAGTGCTGTGGTAACCGCTTGACAAATCCTGCATCAGAGGTGCTGAGGAAATTGTGATGCTGAGAAAAACAAACAGGCAAGGTGTCCCTGAGAGACAGCTCATGCACATGTGGAGACAAACAGGGGTTTCTGTTCTATCATCCACAGTAAAGTGTATGTGAAAAATACTGCAGAATTATATGTACTTTCCTCAAGGAAGATTGACATGAAACTTGGAAAAGATAAAAATGATGTTGCCACCAGTAGTCTGAGAACAGTCACTAACAAATTATTATAGGAGACAAAACCCAGATATGTCTCCAGGTACATCTGATGCCTCAGAAACCAAAGGTAGTCATTAGTACAGTAGAAGCATCCTATATCTGTTACTTCTAACAAATATGTGCTGCTCACTGATGCTGCATACATGAAGACAACCCACCTCACCTGACATTTTCTCTGTATTTTACCGGTACAGGACTTCAGCAGCGTCTGGGAGAATAGGGCTCTACACTGCTATTCTAAAAGCAGTAACAGAAAAAAATAACAAAAACTAGTGGGTTTTTTTGTTTGTTTGTTTTTTCAGAAGGTGCTTAATTAAGAGCCTAGGACTCCCCAGCCATAGTAACTGTGTACAGGTGTGGAACAACAGCTTCCAGCTGGTTGTCCATTGTGCAGAAGTTTTCATGCACTGATTGGACGGGTGGAAAGCACTGGCTGTATGTGCCATGTCTGGTGTCAGGGCACTGGGCTATGCATTAACTCTCACAGTAAAAATAGTGGAGGAAATCAAGTCGTCAAGACTATTGGGATCATTGTTAGATGATCATGCCTGGTGAAGTGGAGCATGTAGACGAAGCTGCTGACAGATCTCATTTAGCTCCTAAATCAGGAATTACAAGATTCTTCTGGCTCCACAAGTTAGAGGTAGCATGGATATTGCTTAACAGCAATTTTCAAATTCTCTTTCTTCAGGAAAATCTCTTCCCCTGCTTCATTACTGTTTTGCAAGTTACTTACAGACACTGCTCACTTAACTATTGTCCATACCTTTGTCAATTTAGAGAGCATATAAGAAATAATTCTGTCAAGAATAAGCCCAGTCACCAAGAGCTTGTAGTCACACATGGATGTGTAAGCTTCTGGGACTGTGCTGAGGTTCAACTGAAGAGTCACCTTCCAGTATAAAATTTGAGGAGTGCCTATAGAGGTCAACAGTTGTAAATGTAGGAAAGCATGTATATATCCTTTTGCTAAACAGTAGCAAAATCTGGAATCTCGCAGACCTGACTGCTGTTCAGAGAAGATTTGGGTGACATGAAGTCAGTTATCAACTCAATGTAATTTCTTTACTCATCAAAAGAACTTCACAGGGAAGGCAGGCCTGGAAGTTAATGGTAGTTGCTAGACAATTTCATGTGAGGAATGAGAAGCTGTTTTTCAGAGGGGTAATGCCCATGCCTCTAGGGAAGCAGAGACTGGGATCAATGCAGGTGTTCCACAGCTGAGGACATACAGATTGGACTAGACAGTCCCCTCTGGCTTTAAATCTACATGTGCATTTAGTATCTGATTCTTTGGGCATGGTTTCTGCTTGGTAATTTTATGGCTTCCTCCTAAGAATTTTAGCCAGGATGTACAGCAGGTAACATCTGGTCTGCAATTCCCCCAAGATGTATCATAACAACAGGGGTTACTGGGCAGCCAAGTCATGAAGTCTCATTTTTCTGAGGAGACAATAACTGTCAGTGCCACATGGAATCTTTGTTGCTTGGCTGGATGCTGACACAGTCCTGAGAGCCAGGAAGAAAATCTAGAGCTGATGTCTGTACAGTTGTCACCATGATCCCCACAGCATTTCAGCCATTTTCAATACAGAAGAAGACACTCTTCAGGATCAGAACTTCTGTGTTTTTTTCTGTTGTGCTGAGAAGCAGACAGCTGGTGTCCTGTCTGGGTAATAAATGGGAACCATGGATATGGTACAATCTGGATTTTGTCTGATTTCCACCTGTCACGAGGGCAGGCAGCATCTGCCACCTTTGCAGTTAGCATATTTGTTTTGGGTAAACAGAGCATTTGCTGATCAGTGTGACACAGTCACCAGATGGAGCTGTACCCTACAGCATTACAGGAATTTGATTTGATGTTTTTAAAATAATACCTCTTGTGACAGCTCTATTATTAGTATTTATTGGTAATCTGGTGATAGCATCTTTGCTTTACAAATGAGGCCTGACTTTAAGAACCTTAAGTCCCACTTGTCATCAATCACTTGTCATCAAATCCCACTTGTCATCTGGAGGAAAATGCATAAATTACCAAATCTGTGGCTCCAGGACTCCATGTCTGAACTTATGCTGCACATGGAGAACATAAAGAAGAAAACAGGGTGCCTCCAGCACTGTGGTCACGAGCTGCTCTTGCTCGAAAGAGAAAATCTCTCACTAGCTGAAGATCAGTCTCAAGAGCTGAAGATGCCATGTGACAGTAACTGAGACATTCACTTCTACGTAGTAGAAAGCAGCAAGAGGAGCATCCAGAGCTGTTATTAGCATTGTTTTAAAAGGGAAGAGATGCATAAAGAGCATAAGCAGAGAGAGCAAAGCTTTGTCAACAGTGTTGCACAGCACAGGGCGGTGGCCAGAAAACCTCAGCTCTCTTCTCATTCTCACTTTTCTTGATGGAACTCCAAGAAGGATGTCCGTTTCTGCAGTCAGGAGCAAAGCCCTCCATTTAGTATTATTAGGTACTTATACTAGGTATTAGGTATTAGTATTATTTAGGTATTTAGGCACAGATGCCTCTGAGCATGGGACAGAGCTGTGCCAGAGACTGCACACACAGGGAGCTGCTTGTGGGTACTCGGATTTGCCGCAGAGTATTTGTTCTGTCAAATGAGCATGTGAAGTACATGGGCAGTTAATGAAATGCAGGAGTGTCCCTGTTGCACTGAGTCATGCGTATGGAAATATTTATTCCTGTCCAAGGGTATTTGCAATATAGTCCCTGGAGTTGCAGCACTGGAGGCAGTTAGTCAAGCCCTAAAACAAGCTGTCCTTCGGTCATGTTGCAAAACCAGCTGAAGGGCAAAGGCAATCAGCTTTTGAATGGCAGCCTCAGCACAGCTCCAGGATGAAAACTCGAGGAGATGCAGGCAGAGATGCCAGGTGACTACTGCAGGTGGGGGAAATGGGTACAGATCCTATTCTCACCATTTACTGTCTGGCTTCCAAAGGCAGTCTCTGCAATCATGTGGTTTGCACACCTGCTCTTTCCTTTACTATCTCTGGAACCCACTGCCCAATTTCAACCAGCTATGAGCAAGATGTAGAGATTGCAAAGCTAATTGCCATCCAATGCTTTAGCAAAGATAGCGTTGCAGGAGGAAGGAGCCACTGTGTAAAAGAGGTAGAACTCAGCCCTGTTGCAGCTCATTCAGCAGCTGCCAACTGACCACTAGCTATGTGTGTGCTGTTGACCCAGCAACAACAGTGCCTATATGTAGGCACAGTGCATATATATAGGGGAGGAAGGAAAGGCTTCACTAAATTCATTGCTAAAAAATACCAAGTAGTTAATTTTTCTGAGTTTCTGAATCGTGATTCTGACCAAATGTGGGAGAAGATAACCCTGAAAAGAACCCAAAGAAAACGAAAGGTCAGTAGCCGTGCTGTTCTAGGCTTAAGTAGTAATTTTACGCCTTACATGATGTTTTGAAATGGGAACATGTTTTGAACCCTGCCATTTGAAAACATAATTCTACTAGAAACTGGACTGTGTTGGTTTTGCTGTTTACTGCTGAGGGTATTTCTCTTAGTTGCAGTGGGATGGGAGGTGAAGGCATCTTGTGCTCAGCTACTTGGCTGAGCACCTTCCCCTGCTCTAGGCCAGCCCGTGATTTTACGAACTGTGGCACATCTGCCCTGGGTCCCGGTCGGACCAAACCCACCCCGACACCAGCCTTCCGGCGTCCCCGGACCCCGCTGCGGCAGGGGGGCGCTCGCCTATCCCAAGGACACCCGCTGTCCCTGGGGAAGCCCTCTCTCAAGCGGCCTCCGGACCATCCGTCCTGCGGCCAGTGTCACCTCGACAGTCGCAGGGCGGGCTGCCGACGCTGGCAGCTCCAAGGGCGCGGCGGGGGTCTGAGGCCCGGCCCGCCCGGATCTTCTTCCCCTGTAACTGCTCCTCCCGGCCGGCAGGGGGCGGCACGCCAGTTCCCGGCAAGAGGGGTTGAAATGGGGGAAGCAGCTCTTCTCCCCGGCGCAGGCGTCTGCTCTCTGGGCGGAGGGGAGGTTACTGCGCACGCGTGAACTACCGGTGCCTGGGTGGGAAGGGCGCATGCGTGGCCGCACCCTGCGCATGCGTAGAGCGCTCTGCCGAGGCGGTAAGGGGAGGCAGCAGTGGTCCTGCGGGCAGCCATGAGTGGGTTCGGGGCTGTGGCGCCGCTTCCCGGGTCCTCGGCTGCGGCGGGCGGCCGGAAGGGCAGCAGCGACAGCCTAGAGAAGATCGACATGTCGCTCGGTGAGGAGAGCGCTGCTGTGGGGAGA